TGGCTCTTCAATGACTTGACGTCACAAATTTGGAAAACTCTGATGCTGTAATGCAGACAAAGGCGATGTGATGAAACTAAAACCTTTTACAATATATTTACTGAACATGTTAGAAAGAGGTTATTTAATTTTGGGACATGCTTAATCTAATTGAAAACCCTGGGGTGGCATTTCCCTATAACCCAATCTGATGAAAGTCATGTCACATGGCTCCGCCTGAACATCTGAGTGTGCCGCGGTCAGGGTCACGTTCAGGTGACCTTTATATTTATAAATACTCATTAAATTTTGACCAATCAGAGACCCCCTTCAAAAGGGAGCTCGGAGTTGTAACAAACATGGTGGACATTGATGAGAATGATGCAAAAAATCTGAAGTTATTTGAGATTGATCGTCTGAAACCCGAACAGAAAAAGATATTCAAAGCTTTATTAGAGAAGACTGTATGGCGGCGATGCCTACGCAATAATTACCCAATGGGTACGTTTTCCTTGGCGTCGTAGAAACGTCAGTTCCCGCCGCCATATTTGTTTTGGAAAACTAATCTGTTTGATACCCCTCGCTATTTATCTATCAACCATGATATTCCGATTCGCTGGCAAACTTTTGCCAGCGCGCCTCTGATTGGTTCATCTAAAGGTCACTTGGCTGTGACCCTGACCGCGGCACATTCAGATGTTCAGGCGTAGTACGAAGTTAACGAAGCCATGTAACATATGATTTTAATCTGATTGCCTATAACCTACAGCCCTGGGCATGGAAGAGTCTTATATGTATGTAATACACATTCTTTAAGTTCTTTAAAAATACTCAGAAGTGCTGTGAACAATCCACATACCTGCAGACATACTAATACCAGAGACGTATAATACAGAGATTGGCAACTTGCTCTTGGCCTTACCATTGGTCACTGGTATCGCGAGTTACGCTTCACCTGCGCCATATTGGATATACGGTTCGCTGCATTCAATAATCCTGTCCTGTTCAAAACATAATTATGCCATGAGAAAACATCGAAAATCAACGTAATATTAAAACCGTAGCTAGCTGAGATTTCCATGTGGTTTGGGAGTGCTACATTGAATGAAAACTTGAATGATTAAGTTTAGAAAACACAAAACATCGAAAGATCGTGGCTGTGTTTACATATCGGTAATTATTCTGGCTTCAGGAGAACACGAACTCCGTTTTTGTTCTTTAGACAATTTCAAAAATGTTTTCAGAAATTAATTACTTGATAATATATCTAACCAGGAAATTAAAATGAAGTTGTTACAATACTTGCAAAATTTCATAATTTAGCTATGAAAATACAGAATTTTCTGAGTAAAAAAGTTAAAATGGCGGCTTTGATGTGTGAGGGTTATTTCTATCATGACAAATTAGAACACGAACTCCGTTTTTGTTCTTTAGACAATTTCCAAAAGGTTTTCAGAAATTAATTATTTAATAATATTTCTAACAAGGAAATTAAAATGAGGTTGTTACAATACCTGCAAAGTTTGATAATTGAGCTATGAAAATACACTTAAAAATATACAAGTTAAAATGGCGGCTGTGATGTGCGAGGGTTAATTCCTTTCATGACACTGGCACTCCTTTCTCGTTTATCTTTTTATTTCAAAAACGTATTCAGATATAACATTATATTTCTAACCAGCTTCTTTATATGATCCACATATCTAGGATATGTGACATGTTGACACGAACTAACGAATACACGATCGAATTCTCACACAGGTAACTCACTGACCAGACTATCGTCACCAGGATCGATAAGCTGTCAAAAACAAACACTCATAGATCATGCGTGTTTTTGTGAGATCAGCGTGAGTTGCCAATCTCTGTATTATACGTCTCTGCTAATACGTATCAAAAACGAACAAAGGGGTAAAACATGTATATACTGCATACATGGGAGTCATGAAGCCCCTGTTTCATACAAATTCCACCATCCCAAGAGGTACATACATACAAAATTTGGCAATTGAAAAAAGCAGAGCAGCGACTGTTTATAATTTTACAACCAAATATAGACTGCTACCTTCCCAAAACAAAGAACTACTCCCCCCCCCCCCCCAAAAAAAAACAACAAGAGGCCCAATGGGCTATAAATCTCACAAATGTAACCAGAAAAGTGGACCAAAAAAAAGCTACAGGCAAAATGTCAGTGTCTCGACTCAGAGTCATTCAAAAGAACCTGTTGAAATTCACACACATTTGAACCCTGTGACCTTGAAAGTTAAACAAGGACATACAGTTGAACAAAATTTAAAGCCCTTCATACAAGAATGCAACTTGCCAAATATTACCACCCTGTACCATTTGTTTGTTGAGAAGAGAACTTTTAAAGATTTATACACACTTGATAAGGTGTGACCTTGAAAGTGTCAAGGTCATTTAGATGCACAAACTAGATAGCTCTTGATCATCTGAGCATGCTACAGGCCACATATCACCATCCTTTGCATTTTGGTTATTCAGAAGAAGTCGTTTAAAGTTTTTGACATGGTTGATCCCTGTGACCTTGAATATAAATCAAGGCCATTCTTTTGAACAATCTATATGTTACTGGCTTAATGGCATCATTCTAGCCATTTTTTGTTCAGGAGAAGTTGCTAAAAATGTTCAACAATTCGACCCCTGTGACCTTTAATATGGGTGAAGATCGTTCATTTGAACAAAGTTGGTAGTCTTTCATCCCAGTAGCTACTGGCAAAATAACTTGGTAGCCCATAAAATGCTTCTGGCCAAATATCATTACCCGGAACCTTTTGAAAGATTTCAACATATTTGACCTATGCGATTCGATTTTTCAAATACAAGATCAAAACAAAACAAAATGAAAAGCAGCATGAGGACTTAGAGTGATCAAAAAATAAAAACAGAGGTCCGATATTTTGCTTATTAAAAAAACGACGGAAACGAAACTCAGGACAGGCCTATGAAACAGAATGATTCTACATGATTATGGAATTGAAAGCAGCTAAGTCGACGAGCTACTTCTACTTAAATATCTTGGGGAACCACACTTACACACAACTATCAATGTCCATTTCCTGATGGGCAGCGTCCTCTAAATCTGCACGTGCAGTTGTTGCATTTCGTTCAAACTAATTATGGAACGGGAACCGGATCTGGAAATGGAGAAACAGGTACTCATATGCGCGCGCGTCACATCAAAGACGTATAAAATCATACAGATATAACGAAACAAATATGAACAGCATTTGATCAAAACACCTTTTTTTATTATTCCGTTAACGTTGTTATTGCATGGTAATCACAATCATGTTTCGTTTTTAAAAAAAATATCTTTATTAGTCAATGTTTTTTTCACATGGGCTACGTACATGTATACGTATCTGTCGTTACCATACATGTTTTATATAACTATCTAATATATAAAGAGCCAGTTTGGATCAATGATTCTTGATATTTTTCAAGTTGGGTAGGAGGGGGTGGGGGCTGACCATAAAACATTTTCACACATTTTTCGATTTGAAATCGGAGTGGCACTGGGTATTTGCGACGTAGGTAAGAGCACGGACTTGGATAATCTAATTTGAATCCGTGATAAGAGTGATATTAGACATTCATTGTGCAAAATCAACGAAATACATTGCAAGACATTTTGTATGCTAAAAAACCCAAAACAATATAACTACATTTACTTTTGCCCTACAAACCCACATATGTAACAAAGTCAGTTGTGATTTATGACCCCATGAATCTGGGGGATCATTATGACGTCATTACTACTGTGACGTCATAACCATAACGTTGGAGATAGTTGGCCGATACTGGTTTTTGTCTGTTCCATATATTGAAAAACAACTCTTAATTCTGAAAAGAAATTGAAAAAAATTATGTTCATGCCAATTTATTGTAAAAATCAATGGAATGGAAAAAACAAGTATGACACGCGTTTTTCGATATGTCTGCAATACGTTTTAGAACTACATGTATATGGCTAAAACTCTGAACGCAATCTAATGCAGCTTTATACTTAAGTAATGCGGATATGTTACAAATTACGGTGAAGGGTACTGTTGAGCCATAATGAACGGCGCGGCGTGAGCCGTTAACATTCATTTCATGGGGAATCGAACCAGCAACTCCTTGGCCCGTATTCATGAACCCGTTAACATGCTCAAGCATGGATTTTGTACTCAAACCTAATTTCTTGTTTCAATTATAAATTAATAAAAAAAAATCAATGATTTAGAAAAAAAAATGAAAAGATCCTGTTTTTAATGTTTACATTTGACTTTTTTTATTGTTTTACATGATTTTAGTGAGTTTCAAGAAATTTGGTTGGAGCACAGAATCAGTGGTTGAGCATGAGAACGAGTCCATGAATATGGACCCAGAGTCCCCATTCGGACGCTCTACCACTAAGCTAAAGGGACATTCTCTATAGCGCGAAGCTATAAGGCGAACGTAATCCTAATTGCATTCTTTCACACAACTAATACACTAGGATGAAGCGATAAATCAATATAATAATTAGTTTTTTTCCGAGTATCAGTCTTTTCTGGATAGAAGCGCCCCCGTTTACCAATCCTTCGTTTCGTAATTGAAAAAAATAAATATATAACTAAAGTTTACATTGAAAAATTAGTTTCGGAAAATTCGTTTCTCACAGGTGTCCATACTAACAAGTTTAGAGAAACTTCATTCGAGTCAATCCAATCCTCGATATCCAGGGGTTACTTCCACCTATGCTTACATCCTCGATATCCACGGGAAACGCTCACCTACGATGTAGAGACCGTAGGTGAACGTAGGTGAGCGTGACCCATGGATATCAAGAATGAGTCAATCCTGAAAAGAGTATAAAACAAAATTTAAACAAAATGAATCTTTGAATTTTATCGAACTGATTTGCTAAAATAAATCTTACAAAGACGTCAACGAATAAAGCGTTAGTCTGAGTTAGAGACATAGTCCATTGTGACGTCACAAGTGGATTATCCACATGGGTTGCCAATAATTGTGACGTCATCGGTTCAGATCTTTGTTTACCTTGGATGAGGGGGGCCACCGCCGAGACACATTTCGCGATGCCTCCATCCAAAGTTAACCACACGCAATAATGGCGGAACGAGATTCCACATTTGATATACAAGATCAGGACGATAAACAGTCCAGTGTTTTAAACACGTCCACAACCTCGGCTCGAGTCAGCCGAACAAGTCGGCGGTTCCAAGTTTTGGAGTCTCAGGGGTTCATAGTTGGCAAGATTCTCGGCACGGGGTCTTACGCCTGTGTCAGATCAGCGTACGACGTCAATCGAAAACACAAAGTGGCGGTCAAGATAATTTCCAAGAGAAAGGCGCCTGAAGACTACCTGACAAAGTTTCTTCCACGCGAAATAGATGTGATCAAGGTTCTGAAACACCCGTCCCTGGTCGCGTTCTACCAGGTCATCGAGACGACCACACGATACTTTCTAATCATGGAATTAGGTTGTGTTGATCTTTTGGACACGATACGCGAGGAGAAGAGCATTGAAGAGGATGTTGCAGGGGTATGGTTCTATCAACTCCAAGACGGCATGCTGTATATGCATAACAAAGGCATTGTCCATAGAGACATCAAATGCGAAAACCTTCTCTTGGACTTCAAAAAAGACCTAAAGGTCACCGATTTCGGATTTGCTAAGAAGATGATAAAGAGCAAGTCTGGAGAAGTGAAACTTAGTGAGACTTACTGCGGAAGCTACGCATATGCTCCTCCCGAAATTCTCAAGGGACAGGCGTACGACCCCTTCTTGGCTGATGTGTGGAGCATCGGGGTCGTTCTATTTACAATGGTAAGTAAACCAATGTGCTTATTCTTTTCAAGAACATAATGACGTTCCCAAAGGTATCCCTTGTAACGTTTTATTTTTTATCTTATTTCATGTACGAAACTTTTGGGATCTAGCAGCGTACACATACAGATACAGAAAAATACATTGCAAAACATTTGCCAATATGAGGAAGTCAATAGTTCTGTCCCAAGGCCTGGACATACTAAAGTCCTTAAAACTGGTAGTTGTCCCTCCCTGTCAAATGTTCAGCATTTAGGTTAAGCGTAAAAACTTGTTTACCCGCTGTAATTATAATATCACCGGGTTGAATACTGTGCTGTGTGCCTTCAGCATGGTATTTCAGTGAGAGAGCACTATAAAATCGGCATTAGATGGAAGCTATCTGGAGTAATGAAATACACTAACATACAGACTCAAAGCACACAAGTATCCCTTACGTTAAACAGTAAGAAGCCAAACTTAACAAACATATATATATAAGTATTGAATGTCTACTCAAAACGCCTCCAATCGCAACCGATGTGGAGTAGATTGCATTTAGAAGCACACCAAGAAGTAATTCAACGTTTACAAAGGTGTCAACTTCAATGATGAATGTTTAGTTGACGCCAAAGGGATGGACCCGGGAGAATGACAAAAATACACGGCGATACTTGCAAAAGAATCACTATGATCCCTGGAAAACTCCGGACGAGTTCCTTCCTGGAGAGGGAGTAGGTCACCATTGCACAAAATACAAGTCGCTTCCTCCGACTCAGTTAGGGAACATTTTTCTTGACCTAACCAGAGTTCCCGGGTTCGACTCCTCCCGGGGGAATTTTAAATAAAAACCCATTTTAAATTTAAATAATGCGTTTTTATTATCGATTTGTCTGAGATTTCTGGTATACTCATTGATTTGATTTCAACGAAGTATGAATTGTAATATTTGTTTAGATTTTACCCCGCAATCTCAAAAACTGGAGTATGCATTTAACCTTGGAAAGACTAGTCGTATTTATTTTACCGAGATACCGGACTTATAACGCTGTTCCAGTTTTCTGAATGATGAATATTAAATTGTTCGTGGATATCTTGAATTTTGGCTGTTAAAACTTGTAAAACAAATAGGGGATTTTTCTTCAATAAAATAATGTTAACAATTTCTAGTTAAACGTGCAGACTTGGATTAAAAAAATGTCTTTTTATTATAATTTAAACTCTCCAATTAAAGTTTCTTTAAATTATTTATTTTTCTGTTCACAGCTATATGGCCGTCTCCCCTACGATGACTCAAATCACAAGAAACTGCTGAAGCAAGTTCAGAGTCGGGTTTCATTTCCGTCGAAACCGGAAGTGAGTGAACCTTGTCGAATTTTAATTTTGAAAATGCTCACAAAATCCCAAGATCGGATTCCATTGGGAAACGTTCGATTTGACCCCTGGTACAGGAAGTACAAGCCAAATGCAGCTGAATCAACGGAATTTATACATCCATGTGGTTCTGTGGCCCTATGCAAGACCGAAGCATTGGATATAGCGTCGCCATTAGCAACCATAGATTCTATAATTCCAACGGAATAGTTGTTCCACTTTACATTCAACAGAAATTCTAGAAGCATGGACAGTTCCATGTACTTTGTAGATGATCTTTAAATAAAATTTACTTTTTCAACAACATTAAGTGGTTGTCTGGCTTATCATTGTGAATTGGCGTAATGAATTTAATGTACTTCCGGTATATTATTACCATGGAAACTTTAGATTTTGAAAATAATGCGAGATCACGCATCGATCTATATTTACAATCTCACGTGGGTGTAGAGGAAAATTAAACCTTTACATATCGTTTAATGTATTGCGTCAAAGTTGGACCACAGGGACATGATAATTTGTTACAGCTATATTTGGACCTAAACTAATATATGTTCAGGTCCAAATATAGTTGTAACAAATTCTCCGGTCCCTGTGAGTTGGAACACACTGTTTGTATGGTGTGACACACAATTTAACTGCATTTTAAAATTCTCAACAAAAGACAAAAAAGCATGCATTGCATTTGTACTATATATCAGTTTCCAGCAAATAAGAATGAGAAAAGGAATGATAGGAGTTGGAAAGATCCGGGAAAAACAGTTATAGACAGCTAATGCACTATACAACATGCCCAGCTATTTTGACACGTCGTTCGGGGAAAGTGCCTGCAACTATATAATAGGTACTGTCCCTACTGCTTCACCTTATACGATATAGCGAATTTGTGCTGCTTTTTATCTTTGTCCATTCAAGAAACTCAAAATCTGCTGCAATAGAAGGAATTCTCCATTTTTTACAGTTTCAACCACTTTTCTACTTTCTTGTTTACTTTGTCTTTCTTTGTAAACTTACTATCTAGGCCGTTACAACCACCATGTAGCCCTGCGTAACAATATTGTGTTGACCACCGCGTGGTCCTTGTATGAACTTCATGTGTTGATGGACCGTTAAGACCAACGCTTGGCCCTGCATAGACTTCCTTTTGACCCCCCCCCCCCCCCCCCTCTATGACCTTATTGTATTGATGGACCGTTACGACTACCGTGGTGCTCTGTGTGACCTTAGTTTATTGATGGACCGTTAAGACTAGCACGTGGCCCTGTGTGACCTTATTTTGTTGATGGACCGTTACGACTACCGTGTGGCCCTGTGTGACCTTATTTTGTTGATGGACCGTTACGACTACCGTGTAACCTTATTTTGTTGATAGATCGTTACGACCACCGTGCGTGTGGCCCTGTGTGACCTTATTTTGTTGATGGACCGTTACGACTACCGTGTGGCCCTGTGTGACCTTATTTTATTGATGGGCCGTTATGACTACCGTGCGTGTGGACCTGCATAACCGTTCGTGCCGATGGACAGTTTAAAAAGACAAAAATTAAGATACATTGTTTTCCCTTGTCGGATCGTTGTAGCATGGAGATATTTTGAGAAACAAAGGTAAAGGTCTTTAAAATAGGTCAAAGTTCAAATGCGGTATTGAAAATATTGATTGTATTGTTTAGCACAAAAACTCTCCCTCCGTGAGTCAATATCATAATTAAGTGTTTTTTTCTCCTCCAGCAAACTATGTTTTCTACAGTTATAGGAGTAACAAAGGACTTAATAGTGTATTTCATATAAATTACTGATCCCTTGCGAGACATGAGACCTACAGAGCCTGTATCACTCATCTGAATATTTTAGCAACATGACAGGTGATCTCGACCATTTCCAAGCTATAACGGCTTTTTGATCCTGCCCCTCCGTTGGTACAATTTTAAATACCCACCACCTCAGGATGTGTTAAACCAAATTGTATCTTAGATACTTTTCTTAATATCGAAGAAGTGTGATCCCTTACATGAATATATATAATTAATTTACCCATGTGGCCCCAACCGTCATCCCTTTGGGGGTCAGCTCCTCCATTTGTGGAAATACCCGAAAATCTTCCAACCAAATCTGGTGGTCTTGGTTAGAGAAATGAAACCACTTATAGCAATATGGTCCTCATTACCCTTTCTGGCCTTGCCCCTCAGCCTCTCTATTTGAACGATTTTTAATCCCAATCTCCTAATTATTCTTTCATCCAAATGTGAACGATATCCATCTCTCAGTTCCAGAAAAGAGAGTCACTTTAATATGTCCCAAAAGGCCCCGTTTTTGGCACTACCCTGGAGTGTCCACAGCTCCCTTTCTGTAACATGAGAATGCTTCCAATGAAATAAAGTTGATACCCATCTCTTAGTTTCAGTGAAGAATTAACTTTTTAATCATTGGCCCATTTTCCATAAATAACTCAGCCCTCTCGTGGGTGTTGATTGTTCAGCCCTTCCTTTTGTACAATTTTGTATACCAACCTCCCAAGATTGCTTCCAACAGAATATGGTTGAAATCTACCAAATAGTTCTAGAGAAGTTGTTTAAAAGTAATATTGTCAAATAACATCTTCTCGACCTCACTCCTCAGGAGGTTAGCCCAACCATTTCTATAATTTTGAATCCCAACTACCCGCAGCGATTCTAGCCAAATTTGGTTGTATTCTGACCAGGGATTCAGAAAGAAGTCGTTTGAAGAAATTGTAGATTGAAGGACAGACACCACAGTACTGTATTAGTAAACCATGGTCATTCAGTCCAGATGAGCTTAAAACATGTCACAAAACATGCAAATTCATCCTCTCATTAAAAAATTTGAGGCAGGTTGAAAAATACATCATTTGTACATCATTGACAGGTGTATGATTTTTTTCATTATTTTTGTTCTTTCATTATTAATGTTTGATCGTGTATCTAGGAAAATGTATACAGGGAGGTCTATATAAATAAGCTGGAAAAAAAATCCTTGGAAATCCTTCTGATAGAGTTAGTAAGAATCATTCAACATTAATTAATAGTGTTGTGCTGAAATATAATCTACAGAAACAAAAGTTTGAACTTTTGACCCGGTGGAAATAAAGCAATGCACAGTATTACTGGGTTAATGATAGACAAGATATAAACAGTAGGTAATCTTTACCAATATAGATTTAATCAGTCTATATAGTCAACAAAGACACACTCAGTGTGCTCAGCACAAGTATACATGTATGGATTTCTGTATGTGGATTTACAAACACGATCCCGCAGATATAATGTATAACTTCTTGAACACAGCCGATTTCATATACTATAATGTAACGTGCCTAGGACAGATGGCAGAGGGAAGGGGAGGCTACAAGTGTGGTATTAACTTATTTACCCCTACATTTATAAACTGCCCAGTCAATGGTTTGGTAAGGTCCAAATGTGACTTTAGAGGTGAAAGAGTTAAAACAAATCTGTCATGTCTAACTCCCAAATAGTCATTTCTTGGGAGAAAGTATCCTTAACAGTTGTTTAATATTCATATATTTTTAATTAAGTCATTTCAAGGTTCATAATGTACAATAAAACCTGTTTAAACTGAACTCCACCAGGACCAGTATTTCTGTTCAGAATAAGGCAGGTTTTCTTATTAGACAAGGTCTCAGATTAGTCAGTTTTTTGTGATAAGACAGGTTTTCTGATAACACAGTTAAGTTTTGAGCAAACAATTCTCTTAGACTTATCCCCAGATTAGACAGAGTTCATTAAAAACAGGTTCCACTGTACACTCACATCGTCAATAATACCCCTTTTATACCTGGCCTTCCTCTGCCATCTGCCATTTCACACTTGGTATCCATAATCTGTATTCAAGTATTGCATAATATATGAAGAAAATAACCTGTATTTCCTACAATAGGTTCCTTAACTTGTAGATTCTATTTTTAACTAATTTCCTCCCTAAATCATAAATAATGGAGGAAAAACAAACTAATTTTTCTCGACAATACATATTTTTTTGTCAATTTGCAAGGAGAGACAATAGCAAATCAAAATATTTCTTAAACAACTCAATATTATTTGAGCCTATTTTAACGAGAGGAACAGGGGAGTGTATTAGTATTAAGTGGTGTTTTTTTTTTACTTTGTGAATATCAAAATCCTCACGAATAAGTTGTTTGAAGTAAAAGACGTGATTTTTTTTACAGTGTAATATGTGTTAATATGAATATGTGTAAATATGTGTTCAGTCCAATTTCCATAAATCGAAATTCCTTAATTTGAATATCTGGAACTTTGCGACAAGCACCAGATTTTTTTTCTTGTATAAAACTACTTATATTCCATTGATGTACCAAACTTTTACAAGTCTAATATCTCGCTGTTTCAAACTATAATCTGTAAATCAAGGCCTTATTGTTGGTAAAACGTTGAAACTTACAACTTACAAATCGAAGTTAAACAAATACCTGTCGAGAACACTAAAATTTAAACAATTAAACAACAAATTTCAGTGCACAAATACATCAAACATATTTTTCTAATTATACATTAAATCAAGTTTCTATAGATTTCGTATTAACTTTTTTGCTTTGTGTTCTGACATTTAACAATCATATTCCATCTTATGCAGATTTTTAAGATGTTCAAAGTTTAACTTTTGATGTTCCATTTTTTTTTTCCGATGGTCCTGCAAAGTTCGAAACATCAAAAATTGACTGTATGTGTAAATATGTAGATTTGTAAACATATCGTTGTGAAAATTTTATGTAAAAATGGAGCGATGGACAAAAGCTCAGACGAATGAATTGGGTCCAGTTTTACGCATCGATTTACATATAACCCATCACCATTCTTTGGAAACAATAAACATAAAGTTGAAATAACCTACATATAGATCATACAGTAGGACAAAAATGGATTTCAAACAATAAAACACACACAAAATTATTACAGTCTATCTCATGATTTCATTTCTCGATTTTCTCTGGATTTTCTCAATTTTTGAAATTGCAAATGAACTCAAATCATTTCACAATTCTTAACTCTAACCACCAACTCATTTCAAGGGGACCAAATAAAGGAATTTCAATTTCTTAATAATCGGTAACTAAAACATTACTGGAACTGTATTGTTGATGGTGTTTACTTATTTTTACTATCGTGGTTTAGGGAGATTTTCCTTAAAAAATGATTGTCGTGGGATGGCTCGGCAAGCAAAATCAAAGTAGGGAAGATTCGCGAAAATCGGTATTTCCTTCACAATTTGAGAAACGGAGAAAGTAAAAGAATCGGGATAGACTGTAAAATGTATTTTGGCAGTGAGAGAGCACAGTACACGTAAAACAATATAAAAATAACACGGAATTACACTGTCCTACGAGAGACTTTCCATAACCACAGAATTACGACGTCCCCTCCGAACCCTATCTGGATTAACATATTGTATATATGTAATGAATGATCTATGTATAGCAATGAAACATTCACACAACTGCATACAGACAAGCTTCTTCACGTTGCTCAGATTGTTTTTTTTTAGTTTCCGCAACAAATGAATTCAGAAAGCAATACTTATGTTTGATAATGATATTGACAATGAATAGCCGATGTCAACTAAAAGTAGTGAAATAATCCTACATCATCGTCCCCAATGAAATTTCCATACAGACTTCTTGTCCTGGGGCCTGTTGCGGAACAACCGGTTGGACCGTTTATAAATGTAACAATTTCGGGTATAAATAAATCCTGGCAGACTTGCAAATGTTTATGCAGGCCTTGCAAGGCTTTGTCAAGGCTCGCCTGAAAGCAGCATCAGATTACTAGGTCCGACCTTATTTAATAAACGAACAACAGTGGTCCGGCCGGTTTGACCGTTTAAACGAAAACGACCCAGTACTTCTACCTACCCGTAAATGGGTAAGAAAACATAGACATTTCATTTGTCAACAATACTGCAAGATATAGCTATATAACATTGTACAACCCCATTCCAGACCAGGATTTCCAAGAAGCACTTTCAGTGAAAGTAAATATGTGTCTATTGATGGAAAAAAATAATAATAATAAAACTGTTCCATACATTTTGGGATAAACGTTTGAGACGGCACTACAAAATCAAGTACTTTTTCAAACCGATTATCCCCCTGAATTTTGAGTTGGAAGTGCTGACTTTTATATCTTCAATCTGTGTAACAGTGATAAGTAACGCACAAATAGAATTAAAGACAGTTGAATGTTTAAAATAATCAATGTCTTACAGGGAAAAAAATGCAATTTACCCCCTTATTATAATGAAATATCATAAATTTAAAGTTCAATCAGTTAGATTATCATAACAATGATTAAAATTAAAATGAAAAGTCTGGGTCCACAGACACCCACATATATACAGCTTATGCATTCAATATTTTCTCCAATTCCCTTTCTCTCTATCTCTCTGTCTATTTCTCTCTCATTCCCTCTCACTTCTGATTTCTCATTCATATACACACACAAAATGCCATTCAAGTCAATAGTAGTATCTAATATACATGTTAACCAAAATAAATCACCACCAGAAAATAAAATGAATTCTTCACAAAATTCCAAATCAATGTCACCATGTGAAGAAATACAGTACTATCACAGAAATCAGTATGTTTTTTTGTTTTCAATAACAATATTTCGGTTTTTAAACAATTTAAATTTGAGATTAAAATGGAAATTTTTTGTTTGAATTTTTTCTCTGTACTGACAGCAAATTCATCATTAAGATATCTCTACTCAATGTTATTCACCAATTATATGTTTTCAAATTAAAACTGATTTTTTTATTAACACGGAAAGGACAATATTTTGATAGGCATTTAGTCTCTTGGCATGCATAATGAAAATTAAAACACATTTTTTATTTTTTGTCCATTCCACTGGCCAGAAAAATTCTTACATAAAGTTCAAACAATATCATTTTTTTTTTAATTAACTCTTTTCTCAGGATTGAAAAGTATTACGAATTCTTATTTTGTTCATAAAATGCCTACGACAATATGCTCTCTTTTTGTTTTGTTTTTCAAATATTATTTTTTTGTGAATTACAATCCTTTCACAGTGATAGATACACAACACGTGTGTACAGCAGAGTTTTTACTGACCTTTTGGTGAATTTGTAATTCATTTAGTTTTTATCTAATGCCAACAATGATACCTGTGCAAAAAAATAAGATAATGTTACATGTTTTTTATTTTGTACAATTAAAAAAAAAATGTGTTTATTGTTTTTTAATATAGGATATCCACGAAAGTTTGAACCACGAAACGATCTAAATGGCTTCAAACCATGAAGGAGGTCAACATTTCGTTATACATTTCTTTGAATTTGGTTGTAAGTTATCATTTGTATAAACTTGGTGGCATCTGTAACAGCTTGTGCAATTTGAGTATTTCACAACACAGGACATATTGAATTATTAATATGTATATATATGTATATATCTCATATATATCACCATATAGAATAAACATACTTTGTGGATAAATACGTCCAAACATGAAACAAAAAAACAAGCCTACTCTGATGACCGTATAACAACACTTATAAACTTCATATATCGTAAAACTAATTTTTCATAGGTTCACAGATTTATATAAAATAATTTTCAAAAATACAAGATCCATTATTTAGGGATATCAAAGTTTTATTTTCTACACAAATACTGTACGTATTAAACGTGTCGCAACTTTTCAAGACCTACTGGTCCCTTCGTCAAGCTATGACTGAGTGAGCGATATGTGTTGTTGCGTTACGACACGTTTAATTCGTACATTGTTTGTGTAGAAAGAAAAAATTTGATATCACAAACATGTATTTCTAAACTGATGAATCTTATTGAAGACATATATATATATAGACATGCAAGATACTAATGTTGCAAAATAGAAACACAGGTAATTTTATCGATATAAACGCTGTGGAAGTTCGATCCTTTGAAAAAGTAGTTTTATACAGTCACTCAATCATATGTGTAGACATTAATACAATTTCCAAATGTTATAAATTGTACAAATATTTTTGTTTTACTTATCATCAAAAACATCACTTTCATTCCAGACTTTGCAGTTGTAATTATGAACTAATAAAAAGATAAACATATTTCTTCAACCCTTTCACCACTGTAGACCATAATGGACTCATCCAGACCAATGTAAGTAGAGTCAGCTACAGTTACATAGGGGTGAAAGGGTTAGGATAAGCAAAGCAAAAAACAAACTCAAAATAACAGTACAATAACAAATCAACAATGGAAATAAGGAATACTACGATCTCTTGGAAGACAAAAAAATAAAAACAAACAAACAACAGGAATACTTTCATACAACCACAGAAAAATGGGTCATTATAGGCATCGTCGATTTCATCCTTATATTTTGGCTCGTGAATATTCAAATCACATTGTATTATTCATAGAAATAAGCAGTCTCTTTGCAGAATTGAAGTATGGATATCAATGAAATTATTATTAGTGTGGTTTACTGGAGACTACATTGCGCAGTCTTGAGGAATGAAGTTCCAGGAAAATGAAATATGGACATCATCTATGATTGTAAATATACCGTGACTGATAATTGTTGATCGGAACATGATACAACCAAATCCTCGGAGTTCAATTAAGTGACTACCACACAACGACGATAACCTAAAGATAACGGTACAGACAGTTTTCAACCCATACCCCAGACAGTGTTTTCTCGTCTGCCGCTAGAAGTTGGGAAGTGACGGTTTGGAATCATTCAGCCCTGAATACTTCAAATAGAAATGGGGTGTATACAGACTAGTGTTAGCTGGCATAGGTAGTTATCCTACCTTAAGCCGCCTCATTTCACGGTAAAACCTGCTTACTCGATCAAGCCTAGTCCATGAAGCTCAAAATTATTCATGTACCAGTATATTTCCAAATTTCAGGCAAATAGAATCTGTTTAATGTACCTAGGTATTACATATTGTAACATTTATGTTATAGTAAAAATAACACGACCTCACAAAAATCTCGTTTTTTTTCTTTACCAAAAAGAAAACCTTATTTGAATATGGCTGTTCCCCAAGCAGGTGATAAAATAGATTTGACAAAGTCAAGAATGATTTTCAACTCAATATTGATTTAAACATCATGAAAAAAAAAAATATCAAAAATTGTCAGCTATCAAATGAAATCATCTAAAAATGAAATCATCTGAAGATGAGGTCTACATGACATCATGTAAGATCAAAATAGGCAGATCTTAAAAATCTGTGTTCAATTCATAAACTCATTCACCCCTGAAGACACATTTGAACCCTTCCAATTCAAAGGTTGGAATAGTTCACTATGGAACTTCAGGGGTCAATGAGCTAATACCAATCAGAGCAATGACAATTTCAAAAATTAATTTTCGCAGTGATACTGCATACATGTTGGATTTCACAAATATAATTCTCATGTTTGTGAGGAAAAAATACACAGTTGTGCAGTGTTTAATTAGTGATTTCGCAATTGGTAGGTATATGGTGTCACTTGATTAAAAACACTCGCTGTTTAATTCTCTCGTGCATTCTCCTCCTTTACTGCGAAAATAACTCTGGTCGGCGTATACAGTTTTACAAATATATTTCCACAGGGTGCTCACAGTTGTTACACTTATGTGGTCTGTGATTTGAAGTCAGTATAGAAAGTTGACGTTAATTTGCATTGACGGCCTGTGGCTGCTGTGGTATTAAGGACGTAAAGAATGTTGATATGAAGCACCAGATAAGAGATAAAGCACTTGGCCGGGGAGGAGGTTGTTCGGGAGGGGCTGGGCTCTCCTCTTCTTGTTGACTCTCTCCAGCAGGTGATTCATTTGTTTCTGGATTTGGCTGTGTTAAAAATAAGCAAAACCGTGTTAGTCTTGAAATACTGTTTTTTGGAAAAATAGCCTACAATATTAAGTTTTCCAGACTTGCCAAATCTCCCTATTTTGGAAGGAGACTCCCAATTTTGGACCCTAAAATTACGCATTTTCATCCAGTGAATTTGCAAAAGTGTTCCCATTTTCTAAGATCTGATGATTTCATTTGAAACAACAGCTCCAAAGATGCCATTTAAAACCCTAGGGTGTACATATTCACATTTTATTTATGCTTTTAATTCTTGAGCACGAGTAATCTCCCCCATGGAAATTTCAAAAAGTTGGCATGTATGGTTTTCTGTATTGACCATTTAAGAATGAATGTCACCTATAGCTAGCCTTAACAAAAACCTCCTTTCCAGGAGAGTTCTATGATAAGAATCTTGTAAAACATCTTTTACAAATGGTTAATAGAATTTATTAATTCAATGATTACAAGATTTTAAAGTACTTATGAGTGCAACTGAAATGATTCTCAATGATAAGACATGGTATATCACACAATAAATGAAAGGTTAACTAAGGTAAAATCAAGTGTCCGGGAAGAGAACATTCCTGGGTATAACAGATTTCCCTCCATATGTACTCAGATACACTTTTGGTACCAATATTCTTTTTGTACATTTGTAGCAACACATTATTTTACCCCACCATTTTGAAATACTAGATTTTACTTCAACATGCATCTGATAGGTTGCACTACATATTGGCAAGATTTTCAGACGGGATATTTTTCAAGAACATTGACAACACCCAGCTGTGAGACTAGGGTGCTATTCCGTCTTTTCGTATTGCAGAGTTATCTGCTCTTGTGAGCAGGTATTGATTCTTACGTCATATATTTGTGAGCGTAACGTCATAAATGTTTGAGAAAAAGATGTAATTTTCCCACACAAACTAATGACATAACACTCAATACCTGCTCACAAGAGCAGATAACTCTGCAATACGAAAAGACGGAATAGCTAACCTGTGGCTCAGTACTAAATCTAACCTGTTGCTGCTGTTGCTGTTGTTGTTGTTGTTGTTGCTGTTGTTGCTGTTCCTCCTGAGGTTCTGTTCGGGGTTGTTCCTGTGGTTGGGCATTTGCTTCTTGACGATTTTCTGGAACTCTCCTTGCAAGCTGGAACCAGCCAGTCTGATATCTGCAGAAGAAATATGACACTGTATATCGGAAAAAAAATGACCTTTTTAGCCATCTGTAATGAGGGCAAATTTATGAACAGCGAAAATAATGACACAACATACTATAATGATGATAAGAAGGGCGACAGATGTACATAGCATTTCATAGATGGGACATAAAAATGTGTTAATGATATAAATCTAAGTTGATTATGACATCACATAATAAAGGAGACATGTGATTGCATTGTCCAATGAAATGAATTCGCATAATGTCATATTCAGAAATTTTCGACAATTCTCTTTGAAACATTGAATAAACAGAAGGAAAACAAAAAAACAATTTCCATTTGAATATCAGAAATATTTCACAAGAATGTGAGATTTTTTTGTATATGTAATAGGGCTTTGCACTTGTGAAAATATCAGAAATTTCGGTCAAACTTGTAAAATACATATGGGAAACCATTTGATATTCTCGATTTAATATATCTTTTAAACATACATTCTCATAAATCATTAAAATATACATACATCTGTACTTCAAGAATGTTTGGGGGAACTACATCTAAAACCTACAATTATCATCAGATAAAAATTACATGTAGCTAAACAAACTTTTTGGTCAAAAATTGAAAAACTCAACTTACAAATAGATTAGGAAAAAGAAAGCGAAGACGAAAAGGAAACGTGTCAAATTTGAGTAGAAGTACACGATGCTGATGAGGACAGCAAAGCGCGCGATGGTGTGCACATAATCGAGCCAATCCCGTTGTCCGAAATCATCATCGTCATCATCTGCAGCCATCATGCCACCCTGGGCGTTCATCACCAAGTTGTTTCCGTTACCCTCGCCAACATTGGCTGGCGCCTGATTGTTAGGATCGTTCTGATTGGGTGTTGCGTCCTCAACTGGTGTTGTGGGCGTGTTGGGAGGCGTGGGGTATACCCCAGTCTGGTAACTGTACAAAAAATAATACCACTTTGTTATCCACATATCACCTATAGCAAATCCTCGTTTACCCGTTGCCTCCTTTTCTGACATATAAAAGTACAAACTTTTCTCTTTAAGTTTAAAGATCCCTGTCCCACTGTAGGTATGTTGACTATCAGTAATAAGGTAGTTCAACTGGTTACAGTTATAACCATCACAAGGTTTGGTGATCTTTTTTCTCGGATTTTTGTTTTCAAATGTGTCAATGATTAGTACGGTCAAAAATAATATAGTTATTCTACCTGGTTTGAGTCCCTTTTTTATTCCTTGGTCAAACAAATGTTTAAGGGTCGGAGTTAAATTAGAGTCGAAAATGTGATTCTATGTCAGACAAATGTCGTAGTATACTCGATCCCCTAGACACCTACGTTACTTAATGCATGTGTCAAAAATAGGGTAGTTTGAAAATGGGAAACACAGCTATTGTTTTGTTTGGCCTGAACTAAGTCCAAAAAAGCAAAACATTTTTATGGTAGGAAGTGATCAGATGATACTAATGGCTTACTATTGCATGTACTGTGCGGTTGCCATCTGATAGTAGTAGTTCTGCATCATCATCATCATCTGCTCCTGTGTGTACAAGGCTTCGGCACCAGGGGGCATCATCATTTGAGGCATTTGCTGCATTTGAGGCATCTGGGGCATCTGCAAGTTTGCTTGGGGTATACCGCTGAAATAAACAATAATTCCAATCAAATAACAGTGAACTGCATCTGGCTAAAAAGCCTACACTGAACCTATATATAGCTATAATTATGTTTTGTGGTGAATAATTTTAACACAAGGCCTAATTTTTGTGATCTGTTGTTTGGGATTGTAACATTGTGTGTTCCAATTAAGTACACTTGTCAAAAGAAGTTGCCCAATACATGTCATATTTGTCATCGCAAAGCTGTCAATTTAACACTACATATTAATTATGTAATTGAGAAGTTTTTCACATACCAGTACGCTAAAATATCTATTAAATCATATACAGACAACTTGCAGAAAATGTGTACAAAGTAATAATTATTAGCCATCTAGGAAAGATAAGTAATTGTATACTGAAATGAAATAATAAACATGCATTAATTGAAATACAGCAGGCAGAAGTACAAAAGATCATGAGGAGTCGAATTTCGACGTGTCAATAGAGATGGATATAGCCAAATTTAGGATGACAACTATATTCATCTTTTGTTTTATAGTCACGGTCGCTTAAATATAAACGCACATAGTGTGTGCAAGCAGGAAATAACATTGATATAGACAGATACATGTACTTCAAAAAGATCGGGATGCCTTGCAAATTTTGTTTGCTTCAGTTTGTTTTTAGGGACAGTGCCGAAATGAATGTGAGCTATATATTATAGTATTAAAGTTAAACATATTTTATTGATCAAAGATACGAAGGGATTGGATGTGAGCAACGAATGGAGTTACCTACCCTTGCGACAATCCAGGTGTTGTTGTATCTGTGTTGCCGTGTCCTCTGTGACGCAGACCTTCAGTACCAGGTGGCATCATGTTTGTCATATTTGGTGGTGCATTCAAGGTGTAATTTGTATCTGGCAGGCGGTATGAATTTCCATTAGGCTGTAGAGGAGAAAAGGTTTAGTTAAACCAGGATGAAAAATAAAAGAACCACAACCAATTGCAAAGAGCAAGGAAATGAAGAATGGAAGCATCTTCACTGATTTACTCCTTTTAGATTAATGTCATACTTACATCAGCAATTTTTTTTCTAGATTAAATGACATTTTGGAAGAAATTCAGTTAATTCATTTACCCCTACATATTTAAACTGGACTTGCCCAGTCTTTGATTTAGTAAGGTTCAAATGTGACTGCAGGGGTGAATGGGTTTAGATGTACATTTTCTTGTCTGTACAATTCAACAGTTTGTGATCATGATCATGTTTTATGGTAATTACTGGGGGAAAAATGCAAAACACTAGCAATGTTTACCTTGTTGTCTAGTAAACTTGTCGCGTTAAAATCCATGCCCGCTGAACACACCAGATGAACTGTATGCTGGGACGGACATCCCTGTAAAACAATATTCATAACTCTATCAGAACAGCAATATATAGGTACAGATCAACTCCATTATGACCCAGTCATTTCATTTCCCTGAAATGTGGTAGCTTTAATTCATAAATACATGTGTAGGTTTTTTTCCAGTCAAAACTAAATCTGTTGCCAGAACGGCAGACTAACATGTGTATATGCACCCACTTCACACATGTCCATAGAACTGTCATCTTCGCTAGCCAAGGGTTACGATCCGGTCTACCTTCTTAAGATAATACCAGACCATACCTTGACTGGCGAAGATTAAAATTGGTGCAGTACTTTAAGAGTAGGGCACTCAATGTTGTGTCAAGTAACAGACAGACAGATTCCAGTATATATATTTATACCATAATAGGAATTATGCACAAAACAACCTTTTTTTTTAAAACATAGGTATATGCTATTACATCTCAATATTTGATTAGTGTTATTATAAATTAACAAATACATTGTTTACTTCAATAAATAATCTTTAGCAAGTCTAACGACAAGGTAGATTTTTCCGCATGCAGGTCTTTAACTACCTGAATTTGATTGTTTTTACCTGAGACTCTCTCAACATGCAGGCATGCGCACTAACTACCTGAATTTGATTTTTTTGCTTGAGTCGACTCTCTCAACATGCAGGCATGCTCACTAACTACCTGAATTTGATTATTTTTACCTGAGACTCTCTCAACATGCAGGCATGCTCACTAACTACCTGAATTTGATAGTTTTTACCTGTGATTGTCTCAACACCTCTTTCAATGTGGCATCATCGGGTAGAAGCTTGCCTGAATAGATCAACTTTTGCTGTGTTTCTTTCTGTTAAAAAATAAAGACATTTTCAATGAATAATCTATAAACACATCATAAAATCACCAATGTCAAAAAAAGTTAGAGTAAGAGTTCTTGATCTATTTTTGAAAAAAACAACTGAGTCCATTTCAAATAAATAAAGTAGATCATGATCATCTAAAAGTTTGTGAGTCCAAAAGGAAAAACAATAGTCCAAGATTCAATTATAGGAGTCCGAAAAATCCCTGAATAGATATGGGAAGGCATGGCATGGCATATTGGCTTCTTGCTGGAAAAGTATTGGCATATATGTAGGCTGTGACATTGTTATGATTTGCTAATAAAACTTATAATAGCCCCCACAAGTCTAGCTTGAATATACTTAGTTTTTAGTTGTTTATAACAGCAGGTATTTTAAACAATAACTAAGGCATACATGGTGCTGAAATCTGGTATTCTAGTTCAGAAATCCATGGTTGCCATGGTAACGAAATGGAGACCTTTTCTTAGAAGTCTAATTATTGGGACATACATAAGGGTATCAGGTCTCTGCAAGCCTCAATTGGTCAAGTTTGAAAACACTTGACTGCATGCCATAGTTACCAAATTGAGACCCCTGATTTGTTGTCACAGGATTAATTTCTTTTAGATAGATGGTAATACATATATGTTACTACAAATGTACGTACAATGTATACTCTTTAATTATCGCCTATCTACTTATATATACTCTTTTTACAGCAATGTCTTCTTTGACAACCACCTTTGGACGGCCCAGGCTGTTGTGAGGACTTAAAAACCCAGATAGGAAAAACTTAAGAAAAGAAAGGGTATATATAGCGACCATGGCTGGGCATTAAATGCCACTTACAAAATCTTAGTTATATTTAAAACCTCTTTTTACCAACCAGATACAGCAGTGTCATTTTTTCTAAGGACATGGTGGGGCAAAACCAATAAAACATAGCTGTTTAGATGAGTCTTTCTCTTTATTTAAAAGGTCAAATTTCATTTTTGAAAATATAACCATGAGGTACCATGAGGTGTCATTTGCTAATGTTAAGTGGTATAATCTGGGTTCCGGGTTGTTTCGCCCTAAATCTCGTTCGCCCTAGGTTGTTACAATAACATACATTTAACTTTCTTTTACCAACTAAGTATACCTTACCTTTTCTTCTGTTACATACTCATACCATATGTAACAGGAGAAAGATAAAGAAATGGCCACACCAGGGTTAAAATTATAGGACCCTCTGAACTCTAGAGGACACTCTTACCTGGTTGCCAATGATCGACCCAGTTAAGTTCGGCAATATACAATCAGTACAATAGCGTACACCTCACACTTACTGGTTTACTGGGATAGACATTTTCAAGATGTCTCTTCAGCTTCCTCACCGTCCATCCTAACATACATTCTACAGTCTGATCTTCAAGTCTCTGGTTAGGTGCTTTGATAACTAACGTGATAGGGCTATCCACCAAGTCCATTTTTATGAAAAACAGAAATCCTATACCTTTTTTGATAGGTAGAAATTGAAAAATTCACTGAATTTATAACAACTGTTCGTCGAATCTTTTGAAGTAATGTGTACAGTAGCTCTACTGTAATCGACGCATCATAGGAAAACAAAAACGAAACTGATGCTGAAGTGAACCCCACGACGAATCCTGTTGATTAACCTGATTTGGTATTACATAGCATCGAAAATTCCTGAATACTTTTTCCTGGTCTTAAAAAATACATTAAGTCCTACAATGACGTAAAATGTTCTTTTGTGGTCTTGAATTCCCCGAAAATGGTTATTAATGTCTGAATGACACCCAAACCAAAACACTCAATGGTGACGGGGTTGATGGTGACGTCACGAGTTGGACACGGAACGCATAGTTGTCGTAATTTGATTGGTTTAGAGTGTTGATGCAATAATTACATTACTCTATTTGGTTCATCAATTTATAAAAGACATATATCAATGACAAGGGAATGATTCTTCGCACACAGCAGGAAATTAAAATAATTAAAGTGTGTTTTTTTCTAAGCTCATAACCTTGTACTTTTAACGACATTGTAGGGGAAGTAACTCGCATTTTATACAATGCAGACATTGATGCCTCCTCAAATGACCGATGGACGTGCAACGTGACATGTAACCATAACGTGATGCAATGCAATATTTTACGTTAGGTCTAATCATAAATCGAAGAAATGATGAGTTGGACAAGGTATATCGTGGGGACAGTCACCTTCGTCGTGCCAGCAACGGCAACGTTCCTAAACACTGTCGGTTATGTTGCAGAGGTTCGAGGCATATCAATGAAGCCGTGTTTGAACCCATTTCTTGGAAAGTATTCAGTTTCAGACTATGTTCATCTCAATAAATGGGGAGTGCGGAGTTACAAGTTTGAGAGAGGCGAAATTGTGTCCCTTCTTTCACCAGTTAATCCCGGTGAAAAATTAATCAAGAGGGTCGTGGCGTTAGAGGGAGACGGCGTGTGGACACGAAACATGAAAAAAGTTGTTACAGTACCGCAGGGACATATTTGGGTGGAAGGTGACCACCGGAAAAGTTTGGATAGCAACAGCTTTGGGCCTGTCCCTGTGGCGTTGGTCAATGGTCGCGCCACACACATAGTTTGGCCACCAAGTCGATGGCAAAGGTTATCTGTGTGTCCACTTTCAAAGGAAAGAGTTATATCTCCGTTTGCAATCTGAAATTGTCCAGTCGTCTGCTAGGATGCAACACAGAACCATGGAATTACATTAGACTATTTAAGTCAATGACAGAACTAAAAACTATCAAACGATGTAATGTTATCTGACAATTTACACTAACTAGACAATCTTTTTTTCCTTGTACCATACTAGACTGGAACAAATTACCATCGGACATCGTTAATGCACCCACTTTCAAAACATCACTTTCAAGGCACACCTATAAAATTGAAGATGCAGAGTAATTAGTTACTTCAACAGGCTTTACATGATAATTTACCACTTCTCTTCTTTTCCCCCTTTTCCGAACAAGCTTTGACTTGCTCGGACCTCTCACTTGGACTCTCCTCGAACTAAATTCTCCTTCTCTTAACTTTAACTAAGTGATTATTTATTAACTATTATGTAATATATAAAGTCTGTCATTTGTGCTGCATAAACCCAACTTCGTGACAAAATCTTCAATTAGTTGAAGCTTAAGGTGGTCACTATATGGTAGAACTAGAAATTTGTAATTCCCCAATTAGGATTTGAGATTCAAAGATCAGGCAAACAAAATTATATATGTATGTTTCAAGTACTACTATACCCCGACCATACTTTTCCAATATACCCTTTGACAATTTTATCTAGTACGAATGCACAATCACATGCACTGACAAGTGTTGGGTTATGCAACTTGTCAACCGGATGCAAACAAATTGATTTACAAACATGCTTCTTGATATCAAAACCAAATTTAAACCCCATATTTAATATTATTTAAAAGACCAAAAAATATCTTTGGTGATTTTTGTGATTTTTTTTTAAATATTAGCACCCAACCAAAAAATACATATGAAAAAAAAATTGGACAGATCGACCTTCCATATTTTTTTCAGTCATGATACCTGAAACATGCATATAATTTTTGTTGGCCTCTATGCTTTGATGCTGTCGTGTAATTCATCATCTCAACAAATTGATTTATACACTATTAATGGCATCTTTTGGGAATGCAAGCACTGGCACATGTCACTGGACACCTGTGAAGCATTAAATTCAAGGACATGGAAACATTGATATTTGCCAATTGAACTCCGCACTCGGAAAAAGACATCTGATTTTCAGCATTATAAATAGTCTAAGTCAACTATATTTGGGTCTCATTTTCCTTTGGGACATTATATTTTCCATCAATGTCGCAGCCATCTTTTCCAGAAGGTGCTATATAAACCTGTACTTTTGTTTTTACTTAGTACATTCTGCTGTCCGACAACATACAAATGTACATATCACTGTCATCAGATAAAGAAATGAAAGAGAAGCATATGTTTATGTTTAATTGTCACTCCCTTATCTTAATTCTTAATGTTCATTTATTGTACATAGTTGAATATATGCATTTTGAATATATGTATGTGTGTTTGTCTAAGTATGAATGAATTATTAAATGATTTTATGAATTGGAGATTAATTGTTGAAAGCTAGCTAGAATGATTGATTGCAGTTCGACTTAAGCTTGTAGCCATCAGCATTAACACAGATGATGAAAGTTCTATTATCTATCAATATGATCAGATATGTATCACCTTCAGTCAGGATATTGCCAATATACTTCCACTCCGAATTGTGTGCCAAATTACTTCAATTTTCTTGATTCAAATCCCTAAAGGCAGTTGTGCAATTCTAAAGAGTTACAAGATATGAATATGTGTGAACCCCATTTTGCAGCCCATTTGTGAAAGATTTTCCACACAAATGGTTTGTAAAGTGTTTACTGTTCTATTGAAATCCTCTGAATAAGGTGAACTAGGTTATGATGTACTGAAACAAAATTTAATGTTCGGGAAGTAGATTTCCCTTTCTACTGAAACGACCAAACTGAGATAAGAACTTTGATATTCAGATTCAGCTTTTTTAAATAATTACTTAAATTACTTTGTAATATCATAACTAACTATGCCATCACTTTCAATTTTACAAATGAATCTAATTATTTGCACGCATGCACTTTACAACAGTCATTCTTTAAAGCTGTTGAGACAAGGAAGTCTGTGGTTGAGAGAATACTTAAACCGTGCTCAATACAAGTATATGTATCTTATACGGAGTAAATGTAAGACCCTGCACATACTCGAATTCAAGTGGTATATCTTTGGTGCTGAGAAGATGTTTGTATTAAGAGCGGAAACGTACAAATTTCAAGAATTAACCACAGGTGCTGGCCCATGGGCACACTAACATAAAGAGGACGGTATTTAATTATCGAACTTATTTGATAAATTTAATATCACATGGACAGTACTCGTGTAAGATTCAATTTATCACATAATATTCATAATTTGAAAAATAACTTTCAACACAATAATGTGATTGATTGATTGATGGATTGGTTTTACATCCGCTTCGATTCACTACCGAGTAGTTCCGGTGCAATCAGACGAAGAAAAGACAGGAAAACGAGTAGAAAGGACAAAGCATATAGTGAAGGAATAAAAAAGGATGAGTGAGGAGAGATTTAAGGAGCTGTCTATCCGACATTTACCTATTTTGTAAGACGACTCCTTGTTCTAATGTTTGCAGTATCCTAACGCTGTTTGACCTTAAGACGCTAGTCGATAGCAGCACCACACCTGACCGGAAGAAGGATACAAATAAAGCCACTGCCAATTACATCAGCTCCAGACCAACCCACTAAATTTTGTTAACTCAATGCATTTTGAAGTCCGTCTTAATGTTTTAAATGGGTCTAATTCTAACCTGCTCGAATAAATCCTCTGGGTCGGCACCTACTTTGTAGGTCACCTAAGACAAAGTCTCAAGTGACCTATTGCGATCGCCTTTTGTCCGTCTTGCGTCCATAAACAATTTACATTTTCCACTTCTCCACAACCCCTGAACCAATTTCAATGAAATTTTGTAGAAACCTACCATGGCCAAAGGTCAACCAAAATTGTGAATTATACGGTCCACAGCCCCCAGGGGCATGAGGAATTAATTCAAACTTGGTAAGCATTATCAGTATTGGATAGCAGTTTGATGGTATGCACAAATCAGCCGTGACTGACCCCCCGGGGCTGATGGGTGTGGCCAAAAAGGGTTGAATTGACTGAAATTTCAAAAATCTTCTTCTGAAGACACAGATATGGTAGAATCAAATACTCTTCATAGATGGAAGGGTCTTAAGGTGCTTTACCAAAATTGTGAATTTCATGACCCTGGGGTCTCACGTTATCCCCCTGGGGAGGGGGTAAACTTTACTTTAGATTATATAGGGAAATCACATTTTGGACCAGCATTTGTTTAATTTCCATTGGAATTAATTCAAACTTGGTTAGCATTATCTGTATTGGATAGCAGTTTGATGGTATGCACAAATCAGCCCTGACTGACCCCCAGGGGCCTGAGTGGCGGGGCCAAAAAGGGTCAAATTGATTAAAATTTCAAAAATCTTCTTCTCAAGATCCTGATATGGTAGAACCAAATCCTCTTCATATCTATGGAAGAGTCTTAAAGTGCAGTACCAAAACTCAGCTGACTGACAGAACCTCTATTTGTACATAGTACATATACTACCCAGATCTTTCACACTACTTTTGCATTACATGTAGTTCAAGTTACCTTTGTTACAAAATTGTTTCCCTTTCATTTGGCAACATCGATAACATCAGTTTTTACCTAAATCAGGTGACCGTTAAGGCCCATACACCTCATTTTTGATAAATAATTTCAAGTGTAATTAAAACTATAATGACAAAACAAACATTTCAAATTCTTTAAAATAACTGTAAATGTAGCATGTGGTACAGTGAAAAGAAGTAGTACCTGTAGTGATGGCGTAGGAATATGTTCCCACGGTTTTCACCAACCGCAGCACCTTCAGCTTTTATTATGTGTGTGTAATACCATATCTATGTTATAGTAAAATGGGTCAGTTATTTGATAATACGATTTCTGTGATAGATGTCCAATGCTGACGGAACAAAATTACAACAAGTGGGTTTAAAAAAATATCAAACTGCTAAAGACTGCAAGTTTTACGGTCGCCATTACCAATGTGTAGTTCCTTGGGCAGTATGAATGACGACATTTTTAAAACTTTAATTCACTTTGTGGTTTAGTTGTCTCTACCCCGCCTGTTACTTTGAGGACATCACATTGCTAGTATTTGAC